GCAGCGATCATTCTTTGTAAATGGAGAACAGAGACTTCCGTGTCGTTCCAATTCCTGATTAGAACTCGCTGTGCGTAATTAACCAACAAAAATTTTCATATAACTAAATCACATTATACTTGGTTCAAAATATATCAACCTGAAAATCCAAGTAATTAATCAATTAATAATTTTGAATCCCCCATTCAATGGTCAAGTTTGAAACTCAAAACTATCAATTTTCAATTTGACAATTAAATTACTAATTTAATATTAAAAAATTTAGACGCGAACCGACCTGCAAGCAGTCCATTTATATGGAATTTTAGTCGTGTTAGCATGAAGTGCTCTCTGCACATCTTCTCTGTTGTAGTAAATCTCTGCGTACTTCTCGGTGCAGGGATCGTATCCTGACATTCGTCTCAATACCTAATTACATTCGAACACTGTTATACCAAATTATAATTTTTAATTGAGAAAATTAATTTAAGTTTTAAATAATCAAGAGTTAATTTTACCTCCTTGTGTAGATGAGGCAATCTGGTGGTCTGGCGAGTGAAGGAGCCATCAGAATTGTTGCAAGGAGGTGCGTATATATTGTACTGATCAATATTCCCAAACTCTTTATCCATAGCATAACTATACAGTGACTCACACTCATCTGATTCCTTCTGCCTCCTAAAATCACACGTGTTGATCAGCTGCCGATAAGTTTTATCAGATATCATTGCATGACTCCACCAATACGTCACCGTTCCGAGATTATCATAGTAGTTATCCGTCACTGCATTCCCAACCTACATTCCGTATATTTGTAAGTTAACCAATCATTTAAATAACTAATTAATTAATTAATTAATGTTTTTACCATTATTCCCTTGAGATTAATTGGGTGCTTAACCCTCTTATTATATCTCATAATTTCCCTAGCCAACTGAGGCACATAATGCCCGGCGTAGCTTTCTCCGGTGATGTACACTTCTCGCTGCTTGTACCGTGGGAATCTTTCCAACCATCGGATCAGAAATTGCAATGAATCTCTAGCTGAATCACGACCCTTCATTTAGCATAAAACTCGAAAAATAAAATAGAATATAAAACAAAAAAAAAAAAAAGAAAATTGTGGGTCAAACCAGTGCGGCTGTCGCCTGTATCGAACAAATCGGAGGAGCGGTTGGTGTAGGAGAAGCCGACGCCGGCGGGGGTTTCGAGGAAAAGGAGGTTGGCGAGAGAGTTCCATGAGAACTTGTTGAGTTTTAAACCGGAAGCAGTCTTGTTGATTCTGAAAGGGCCGATTTCCTCGGATGCACCGTATGCTACAGAAGAGCAGCCTGGACCTGATCATTAATGAATAAAATAAATGTAAATAATCACTTTCTAAATGTTAATTTTAAAAAAAAATCTGATAATTTTTTTTTTCAAAAGTTTTCATTTATTATATATAAT